CTTGTGCACTCGTGTGTACTCTCTCCCTCTTTAAGGATTTAGGAAAAGATTTTAGTGATATAGTGGCATTTACTGAGTTTTTGTATTTTAAAATTTCAGAATCCATAGTTGAGGAGGAAAATTCCCTTTCTGAAAATCAGCCATTTCCTTCTCTTAAGATGGTAAGTTCTTTGAGGAAAACCAGCGCAAGGCCATCTCCTTAATTCTGTTATATCCGAATAATTTATTTTGATCTCTTAAATGGATACTAAAGGCTGTGTCAAAGATATTAATATAAAGCATCATTGTGCATTTTAGAGTAGATATGTTCTTGTGTGGTCTGTCTGTGGTACTCTCTTTCTTTTTTTAAAGAGTAACTTATCTGCTCAAAGGAATAAAAATTCCCATCTCAATGGGTTGATTTGATAAGAATAGCAAATTCATGTATTTCTGTGTATAAAAAAGGAAGGAGAGGACACAGAAAAAGGGGTGGGTGGAAGATGTGATGGTGGGAGAGGCATTTTTACAATATTTAAAACTGTTCCTTAGCTTTTGGAAAGAAATGAGATTCTCCAACCAAAGAAAATAAGTATCTTTTGTTACTTAAAATAAGATATAAATTTCAAGAATTTACTCTGAAAAAGTATAAGCAAAAACTAGCCATGGAGACTTAAAAATTAGATACAATTCATATCTGAATCCCTTTTCAGTATCAGGAAAGCCCACATAGATGCCAGAGAAATTCTGGATCTACTTTTGTTGCATTGGTCTTTCCTAAATTCCAATCTTCTTCACTGTCTTTTTCTGATAATGTCAAGTGCAGTGAATTTCTTCAGCAAAAATAGGTCATTTCATTTTAACATGATAGGGAAATGTATGTTTGGGAGAGAAGCTTATTAGCTTAGTAGGGTTTATCATCTAGTAATTTATCTGGTTGCTAAAGTGGGTGTGTGTATGTATATGATTTAGACAAAAAAGTGACAGTAAATAATCTATAATGAAGGTATTTTGTTGAAATATTTAGGTATGTATTACCTGAGGAAGACTTTATAAAACAATCTAAATCATTAAAGAAAATCTCAGTGGTTAAAGGTAAATGAAGTATTGATTATTCACTCTGCAACAGGGATGCTACCACAGAGCCCTTAAAATGGATATTTTCCTAATGCATTTGAAACATGATTTGTATAATTTTACAGGTATTTATGAAGTTCAGCTAAGTAAGGTTATTCCTTCTAGTTCAAAACTCTAAAAATCATTTGTTGTTTAGAAATATCATGATTCCCAGACTTTGAATCATAGAACAAAACAAATTTTTAATAGTATTAGAGGTTTGATAGTTTTATTTATCCAAATAAGTTAAACACACACACACACACCCCCCACAAACACACACTAACTCAGTCACTTTGCAGCCACCATCCATTAATCATAAAGAAATTTTAACACCAAGAAAACACCAAGTATCTTAGCATAAAGACAGTGTTCCTACAGATTTGATGTTTAACAGTGTCAAAACTATTTATGCACTGTTATCCTTATTTCTCTAATTTTGCGTCAGTCCAATAAAAGCATGGTGACAGGTGTGTTAAATAAGACTTTAGATACAGGAAAAGAAAGTGAAAAGGCCCTGCAAAAACCGTTTTGGACACTGTACTTTACATGCAGCTGGTTAGCGTAAACCCAGGTCACCCAATTTGCAGGCTGTGTTCTTACCACCATACTATTCTGTTTGTATGCATTTATTTGCATTATAAAATTAAGTACCATATATATTATACATATTAAATGATTTATGAGCCTAAACGTAATCTTTCATTTGGGATACATCTTTTCAGGGGGTAATCAACATGATATTTGTTAAGCATTATCATCATCAAAACAAGCTAAAAATCATGGTTTCTTATGTAATTAAATCTTAGCAAAGTAGATTGACATACCCAAATGCAATTTGGAAAACGTGTCAGATGTCATCTTGAATTCATGATGTTGCCTGTCTTATTACAGCTCACTTTAGATGTTCAGTAGTGGTGAAAAGGATTTCAGTTAAGGATCCATCTTGGTGGTAGTGATGGTGATTAGTTATCACAGATACTGCCTGAGACTACTGCTTTTGCTGTTTAATTTCTTTTGACTTTCTTATTGAATATAGTAACCACCAACCAGGTTCTTAGTGTGAGTGTTAGAAAAAATGGTGGTTTATGCTGAACACAGAAAACATTTTATTCTTACTAGTGATGTATTCTTATTGATTGCTTTTTGTAATAATTGTGTTTTCTTTGTTTTCTTGTTCTGCCATCCATCTCATCTGAAATGAAATTCACCACCAACAAACAAAACTCTAGGTTTTAGAGTCTTTGCCAGAAGATGTAGGGTTTAATATAGAAATAAAATGGATCTGCCAACAAAGGGTAAGTAATTCTGTATGCAACACATTCTTCTTTCCTCTCTACTGCTCTCTGTTCTAAAAAAATTCTTTTCTCTTTTTGTTTTAATGGAATAAGTGAAACTGAAATCTTACTGTGGTTTTCTCCATCAAGCACAATGCTTGTTGGACCTTTTAAATCATGTCTAACACTTAAACTAATATGTGAGTACTTAAAAATTAGTGAGGAATATAATAGAAATTTAAATTTACACGTACCTTGTGTGCACATTATTAACATGTTGGTTTCTGGGCATACTATAAAGTGGACAGTCACTATGCTCTGATTTAGTTTTTCTGGTTTTTCTTAGTTTCTTCTTTTTGAGACAGGATCGTGCTTTGTTGCCCAGGCTATAGTGCAGTGGCATCCTCATAGCTCACAGCAACCTCAAACTCCTAGGCTCAGGCAATCCTCCTGCCCCAGCCTCCCGAGTAGCTGGGACTACAGCCACGTGCCACTATGTCCAGCTAATTTTGGTTTTTTTCGTAGAGATGGGGTTTTGCTATTTTGCTCAGGCTAGTCTCAAGCTCCTGGGCTCAAGCCATCCTCCCACCTCAGGCTCCCAAAGTGCTAGGATTACAGGTGTAAGCAACCACACCCAGTCTAGTTTTTATTTTCTTATCCCCATCTAAAAATAGGTTTTAAACAATTTTCTAAGCAGTTTTCTGTTGGGTAGCAGTAGCTAGTAATAGTTACCCAGGAAAGGAAATTGCTATAGTTATGTTATAAATCACTCCCAAATTTAGTCATTTATTTGTTCAACAACTATTTTTTGTAAAGTTGCTAGGGGCTGGGCATTTTCTGAGTGTGAAGACAAGTAGCGAACAAGACAGAATAAGGCCCTGCCTTTCTGGTACTTATATTCTAGTCAGGAAAACAACAACTAACTATTGAACGTAGCAGAGGGGGATATGTGTAAATGGATAGGATGCATGGTGAGAGGGTTGCTGTGGGGCGGAGGGTGGGAAGTAGTTAATTCAGGTTTCATGATTGGGCATTTGGAACAATATTCTTGAATTTATCTCGTTCAGAATAATCTGTAACTGCTCTCAAATCATGCTGTTTGTGACAAGCTGGTTCTGGTTAAGATAGTAACATAGTAAATGCTCAACCGTGTGCTCTTTTTAGTTTTCTGAACTTCTAGAATAATTTCAGTGACCAAAATCTATAAAACATGTAATATTTGAATGTCAATAGGGCTGACTCTTGGTGTCTTGGCTATATTTATTGAATTATTTCAGTTATTTTTGAGAGTACTTGATATACCTAAGACCCAAAGAATGAGATTTTTAACTGGTAATTCATAATTAATAGAGATTTTTTTGTATTGTGTTAGCAAATGAAGTGTCCTATAGCTTATGAAGATAAAATTATAGTAGACTAAATTTCCATAGTTTTAGCTTTTAACTTTAATAAAGCAAAAATCTATTGATGGTATAATTGCTCGCTTTTTGTGAGAGTCTCTACACCTGAATTATGATTGCTGTGCCATCACTAAATTTCTGTGTGATGTTGGGCAAGTCACTTTATCTTCACACTTTGTCTTCATCTGTAAAATAATTGTTGGGCAAGGTTTTTTTTAAACAGTGTGATTTTCGCATATGCAATGCCTTTCATTTTCCTTTTACTTTCACATAGGATGGAATGTGGGATGGTAACTTATCAACATATTTTGACATGAATCTGTTTTTGGATATAATTTTGAAAACTGTTTTAGAAAACTCTGGGAAGAGGAGAATAGTGTTTTCTTCATTCGATGCAGATATTTGCACAATGTGAGTAATACTCAGTGTTGTTCTCCTATAGTGTTGGAATGTAACTAGGACTAAAGGCACAAGTGGTGGTTTAAGGTGGGGAAGTTGTCCAGCTTTCCCCTTGCTTTGTCCTCTCAGGTTGTGTGTATTCTCATGTCCCTTCACCACTGCTTGCTGGGTGCCCTCTACTGCTGTGAGGTCCATACCTACTGGGTCCTAGTGCCACACACTCTGTTTTATCTTACAGGCACGTCACATCCTCCTTACCAGATGGTAGGCCCTCAAGGACTTTCTCACTGACCATTTCTGAGACAATTTTAAGTCTCCTAATGAAAATTTTTAATTTTTTTTTTTTTTTTTGGAGACAGAGTCTCACTCTGTTGCCCTGGCTGGAGTGCCGTGGCGTCAGCCTAGCTCACAGCAACCTCAGACTCCTGGGCTCAAGCGATCCTTCTGCCTCAGCCTCCCGAGTAGCTGGGACTACAGGCATGCGCCACCATGCCCGGCTAATTTTTTCTATATATATATTTTTAGTTGTCCAGATAATTTCTTTCTATTTTTAGTAGAGACGGGGTCTCGCTCTTGCTCAGGCTGGTCTCGAACTCCTGAGCTCAAACAATCCACCCGCCTCGGCCTCCCAGAGTGCTAGGATTACAGGCGTGAGCCACCGCGCCCGGCCTTAAATTTTTATTTTTTGACTGAAAGGCAACATGTGTTAATGGTGGTTGTATCCGAATAATGGGATTATGCTTTTGTTTGTTTTCTTTATACTGTTAGTATTTTCTAAAATTTGAAAACTGAATATTACAGTTATCTCCCCAATGAAAAGTATTTTTTAAATTGTCTTTTTCAGGGTTCGGCAAAAGCAGAACAAATATCCCATATTATTTCTGACTCAAGGAAAATCTGATATCTACCCTGAACTTATGGACCTCAGATCTCGGACAACCCCCATTGCAATGAGCTTTGCCCAGTTTGAAAATCTACTGGTAAGTTAGGTTTGAATTTTAACTTTTAAAATTTTCTTTATTTTTTAGAGCAGTAGTAAACAACGTTTCATATTACTCTAAGTATCTAATGGTTAAAGTTTTTACTGTATAATGAGTAAGTAGCACTACTTAAAAATGACAATATTAGGTCTTAGAATGCAAAGCAGTTAAATGAAGAAAAGTAAAAATTTTCTTGCAGGCCTACATTAAGTTTTCTAGTTTAGTTTCATGAATGGATTTTATGAATCATCTTAAATGGTTAAATGGTAAACTTGTTTTGATAGAGCATTCCATTAATAAAATTTTTTGACCATACATTCAATATCTGTATGTTTACATATTACATTATATTACTAATATATTATGAATATATGTACATGTGGAGTATTCATTAAAAAGAATATAAAATTGGCAGAAAAATTCTAAAATTTTCTTTTCCTGCCTATTCTGCTGTATAGAGCACTCATTTAGATTATGAGCATGTAGTATTTATAGTTAATAGGCTACTTTTTCCTGAACAACTAATTTTTCTTCTTTTAGGGGATAAATGCACATACTGAAGACTTGCTCAGAAACCCATCCTATATTCAAGAGGCAAAAGCTAAGGGACTAGTAATATTCTGCTGGGGTGATGCTACCAATGATCCTGATAACAGAAGGAAATTGAAGGAATTTGGAGTTAATGGTCTGATTTATGATAGGTATTTGTTTTTCATGAAAAATTTTCATGGATTGTTAGAAAAAGTGTAGTTTTCATCTAATAAAATTAAACTTAGTTAAGTTAAAATTCTGTAGTTCAGCCTGAAGTTTATCTTGCCATTTGTCAGTGGGTTTTTTCAAACTTTGGAATCACTTGGAAAGCTTGTTAAAAATTCAGATGACTGTGCCCCCACCCACACGTACTAAGTTATCTTGTGGGTAAGAGTGGCTGCCTGCCTCCAGATCTCTTTTTTTGTCTATACCAGTTTTCTCAGTGATCTCGTCCAATTCTATTGGTTTTCATATCTTTATATGTTCCCAAATTTATACATCTGCAAGTCAGACCATTCCCCTGACCTCAGTAAACTTCTATGTCCAGGTACCGATACCTATTCCTTCTATAGTCTTCCTGATTTTAGTATAAATGACAATTTGTCTGTTTAGTTTTTCAAGGCCAAATTCTTGGAAGCTTCTGTTCTTTTATCTCATATCCCAGATCCAGACATACAGAAAATCTTGTTGGCTCTGTCATCAAAATATACCTTCTTTCTGTCTACTCACCACATTTACTATTGTCACCTCATGTCTGGTGTGTATTACTGATGTAGCCTGCTCCCTGGTGACTGCCTCCACCCTATCTATGCTCAGTACAGCAGCTGGGAGCGTTTTCGACCTTTGTCAGATCATGTTGCTTAAAACTTGCCCACGGTTTTCTGTGTCACCTACAGGAAAAGCCAAAGTCCTTACAAGGCCCTGTATAAGCTGATTCCCATCCTCCCCCCACACATGCTTCCCAGCCCTCTTTCCCTCTGACCTTGCTGGTTGTAGGATTGCCACAAACCTTCAATTTATGAAAAACCAAAATATCTGTGATGCACAGTAAGGCAAAGCACAATGTGAGGTATGCCCACACTTGGGCAGCAGCATACACGGGTAAGTGATAAAATTCTCACAGGTCTGCTTTTAAAAGAGACTGACTGTCCTTGGATTTAGTTCATGTTACTGTTTGTCCTATAGAGTTTTATCACTTTCTTAATAAAGCTCCCCCCCCCCACTATTTTGTCTCGATTAGTCTGGTTTTAAAATTGCAGCCCATATAATTCCTACCTGCCTTTTTAACTATTTGGCTAATTTTTCATGAAACAACATGACTCATAGCTTTTTAAATAAACATTTCCAATTAATTTAAAATTAAAACTTTAGGTTAGTAATTTGAAAGCAAATGTCGGCTTTAGCAAATTTTTGAAGCATGTATGTGTATAAATACAGATATATATTGAGGTGAAAGTAAAGATTGCAAATATTTTTGTGCAAGAAAAGTATTTTGTGAGATTATACCATTTATGGCTTTGTAGGGTATACAAATGTAGGCACATACTTCATCTCAAGGGCTTTACTTGGTTTAAGCCAAATGCTGACCTGTAATGGAAAACAGGAAGATGTGTGATATAACAGGTGCTAAGGAAAGTCCTTCCTGGCTTCCAACATCAAAGAGGAAGAATTGAGTTGGAATTTTGGGCGTGGTTAAATTTGCTTTGACAGGATTTGGGTTTTAGGTAGAGGCAAGAGCCTGAATCAGGGTAGGGCAGTGTTGAAGGTTTTAGAGGCTTTTGAGGAGATAGCCTGGGACTGACTCCCATTAGGGTCTGGCGAGTGGTAAGGTGGATTGTGTTCGTTGGTTGTTACCCTCAAAATTTTAATCAAAAAATTACATATATATAGTTTAGAAATTCCAATTACTATAAGGCTTACAGTAAAAACAGCTGTCTCTTGCACCTATTTCTTCAATTGTCCCTAGCCAAATCCCTGTCCCCTGATTTTTTTTTTATAGCTATTTCTCCTGTTTCCCTCTGTATTTCTAAATAATCTGCTTATGCTGTTATGTTTTTCATGTTCAGGTTTAGACATTATGTAGAAGGTTTCAGATGACTAGTGATTTGGAGCTTTTGAGGCATTTTGGATTGGGGAGAGATGTGGTGAAAGTGGGTGTTTTAGATTATCAAAAACTTTTCTCTTCCCCTGCAAAGTCGCTAAAATACAGGAGAGTTTACATTTAGTTATGGTTTTGTGATACATATTATCTCTTATGTAAACTACATTTGATTCTCTAATATTTTGTTTGGGGATTTTGCATTATGATGAGTATGATGACCATACTGGAGATAATACTGGCCTCATACAGTAAATTGGGCAATGTTCTCTCTTTTTATAAAAAATTCTTTGTATCTGCCTAAATGATTTAAACAGTAATACAGTAACAATACAACAGACACCCATGTTTAAACAACATTATTACTGGTTTTGAAATCCCTGTGTGCCACTACCTAATCCCATTTTTATCTCCGCCCTCAGACATAGCCACTTACCAAATTACTTCTCTTAAAAACTGTTTTAATCTTATTTCTGTCTCTAAACAATATACCATTTAGTTTTGCATAGTTTAAACTTTATTTGTACTTTTTAAACTTGTCACTGTGTTCTTAACATTAATCCATATTAACGCATATAGTTACAAATCATTCGTTTTCATGGCTGTATGATACTCCATGGTATATCTCTACCACAATTGATTCTGCTATTTTAAGAACATTGAGGTTGTTACCAAGTTACTGCTATTGTTACCAAGTTATTGCTATTATACACAGAGTTGCTGTGAACATCGTTGATCAGGTCTCCTAAATAAAAGTGTAGTTTCTCCAGGACAGTGACTCTTAAACCTTTTTGACCCCATTCCATTTTGTATAGTAACTCAGTACATAGTTTGGTATATCTACAAGTGTGTACCTGAAACAATATTCAAAAAGTGGTGCCCCTTGAATACTTCCTATTTGTGTGTGTACTCTTTAAATGCTAGCCTTAGCTTTCTGAATTGATGTGTGACCCACTACTAGCTCAGCACAATCGGGTATCTGCCGTGGGTCAGGCACTGGAAGTGCAGCAGGAGTATGGTCACCCGAAGTTGGCTATTCTGCATTTCCTGTGTAGCCTGCTGCCAGGTCTCAGGAGTGGGACAAAGCATTATAATTCTGTCAGATAGTGTAGAAACTTATTCAACACATGGTTAAGGCAAGCCTTATTTTTTTTTCCTTCCCCCTCCCTTCTTTTCTAAGGTGTTTGAAAGACAAGTGATATTTAAGGAACACTCTGGTTCAGGCTCACTAGGGCACTGTGTCCTGAGATTACAAAGCTGCTAGAGTGTGACTGGGAGTAGTGGGTGCTGTAGACTTTTCTTTAAAAAAAAGAAAAAGAAAGAAAAGAAACTGCTAGAGTGGCAGTGGCCCTCTTTGAAGAGTGACCTTTAGCATGCCTTCCCTTTCACCGGGACTTCTCCAGTACAAATTTGTTGACCTCTGTGGACACAACTGCCACCCTGTGCCCTGGCATTCCCTGTGTTAGATCTTCTGTTTCCTGTAGCCCATATCTTTTTCTCTTGGTTCACTATCATTTTTATAGAACGCATCCTTCAGCATCTTCTTAAGAAATGAGGGCACAGAAAATGTTTTTGAGGTCTTGTATGTCTGGAAGTGTCCTGTCGAGCATAGAATCCTATGTTAGAAATAACTTTCCTTTAGAATTTTAAAAGCATTTCTCCATCATCTTTACACGTCAGTGTTGCTGTTGGTGAAGCCATGTTGACTCCTGTTCCCTTGCATGTCTCCTCTGTGGTAGCTTGGAGAGACTTCTCTTTGTCACTAGTGTTCTAAAATTCTATAGAAATGGGTCTTGTGGGTCTGGTTTCACCCATTGCGCTGGACACTTGGTAGTAGCCCTTTTTATTCTTTTGATGCATAGCCTTAACATGGGGAAATTTAAAAAAATTATTTCTTCATTTTTTTGTCTCTTTCACTCTTCCGGATATTCTTTTCTTTTTAGAAGTTCTTTTGTTTGAATCAAATACCTCTTGGACCAGACTTTGAATTCTTTTCTCCTATTTTCTTTGTCTTTTGCTCTACTTTGAAAGATTTCCTCAACCTTCTACTCATTCTGTTGAATTTTTTGTCTGCTATTATGTTTTTAATTTCTAAGGACTCTTTTTTCTATCAATG